CGATACAAATCGTTGCAAAGAAATTTTACAGAAAATGTAGTTTCTACAATATTTAGTAGTAGTTTATCAAGTCTCGATTCTAATTGGTCAACCGCTGCACTCTGTGAAATAATTGACAACAGATCATTGAATTATTCATAATATAATATGGGCACGTGATTAAGCAGAAGGGTGTTACTGACAACAAGGTTCTGTGTTGTTTGTGAGTTTGCTTTGGCTAATATCATTGTTTTCCTTGTGTCTTTTGCTGTGGTAGACTATACAGCTCTATGAAATATCATATATTATTTGGCAAAGTGAAATGGAACTGCAATGCGGCCCAGATCTGGAAATACAACAGTTCCTGAAACCTGTGTCAGAGAATCAGAATCAAGCGTTCTAGACTTCTTAGATCATTTTGTGTGATCTCCTACATCTTTCATAGCATACCCACTGTTCTCACGTAATCAAATAAGTAAACTGACATGAAATATTGATTTGGGTGAAATTATTTATTTATATGGTAAGGAAGCATGTAATAAGCAGGATCATAATAAATCAGGGTTTCCCAACTGGGGGTTGTAAGGAAACTGCAGGGGGTTTGTGAGTTGATGAAAAGCTAATAATTAATTGTATCCAATGTAAAGTTGCACAATAATCAGCATATAGCTTAGTGCAATTATCAAATCAAAGTTGCACAGTCTGATGCTCTGTGTGTTTCAAAGCATGCAAGCAGCTGATGATCTGGTGTACTCGGCTCACAGTAAATGCAGCAAACTCCATCTCTGCATGTGCTGCTTGTTTATCATGTATTTGGGAACGCAATATGCGCTAGGCTCACTTTATTTACACATTTGCATCATTTTCAACATTTTTTGGGGCAGAAGTTTACTGAATTTCCACAGTATTCCACCAAAATAAAAGCATGAAGAATTTAAATATTCGAAGCTTGAGAGTTTGAACGTTTGATGCGAAGAATTTAAGATACAAATATTAGTATTGTCACGGTGTAAAATAAAATGATTATAATTATGAAATATTAATTTTGAATGGTAATTTACAACAATAATTTATTTCTGTCTTTATTTTTGTAATTAGTTACTACAACAACAACAATACATTACAAAAAATGCAACACTGAACACAACATTTACTAAAAAGAGAATAAATATTTTAATAGGCCTTTTTACTTGCATGTCATGTGACCATTACCCAATGTCAGAGATTCTTGAAAATGCAAATGTGCCATTAAATTATTGAAATATTAACCTAAAATCTCTAAATGATATATTTTACATCTAATCAGATGAAAGACCTGTCCTAATCATGCTTTCCAGGTTTATTTTGCAATAATGCCTAGCCCGTGTGGCCGATGCTATGCAGTTCAGGTGATTTTAGCATGTTGTTATAAGTTGGCTGTGTTCTGGGTGGTTTCTAGATGGTTACTTCCTGGTACAAATCAAAAGAGTCCATCCCCAAGACTCTTTGATATTCTAGTCTCTCGCGTTCCTCCTGCAGTGTCTGAAATTTTTCACCCATTATATCATTGGCCAGGTGAAAATGTCTGATCCCATAACTGACTATCAAAGTGTCCCTTACTTGTGAGTGCCTTCCAAAGTGGCAACATCATGATCTTAACAATTTTTAACCTGACTTTTCAAGTGCAAATAATTTTGGAATAATCTCACTTCATCTTCCTCATTAGCATGGCTCTAGTTAACTCCAGCTCAGTTCCTCGACTGCTCCCGGAGGTAGACTGAGCAATCTGTCAGAGTCAATCCATCAGTCCGTGTTCAGCCATGTGAGAAGCCCCCTTATGGAGTCTTCACCCTCCCATGCCCCTCTTAGCTGTGGAGGTTAACTACCTCAGCACTCGGGACGTCTCCTCCGCTGTCCTCCACTCAGATGCAATGTATTATGCAGATGAAGGCCACTCATTATTGCTATCTTACAATTGGGTGCAGCAAGAGACATCATCTTGCACCATATGAATGTGCTGAACATAAAAGAAATATATGTGAAAAATAAAAATAAAAAGTTAGCAAGGTACAACTGTTCTGAGGTCATAATGAAAAAGAAAGCCACATTTAAAGGATGAAATTGTTAAAAATTAAAGAAAGCTGTATTCAGTAGTTTGGCATAATCTAGTATTATTATTTCTTAGAGGGGGAAAAACGGTGAAGTAGTTTGAAATATTTTTGTACATTTGTTAAGTTTGAAATATTTTTCCAAATCAAAATGTGACCAAGTCATGTGGTCCAACCTGCATGCAGCATGCAATGAAAAAAAATGTCAGGGTAATTATTGTCGACAAACTATTGTAAACATGTTTGTTCATTGAAATTAGGCTGAAATAAATATAAATATTGGGTAAAAACATAAAATAAGACGAAGCACTAAAACTGCTAATTGGAAAAAAAATAAACTGAAATAAAAATGTATGAAACCTAAATAATATTTAATAAAAAATAATTAAAATGACAAAAGCATATAACTATTACTAACCATTAAACAAATACAAATGAAACGTGAAAATATATAAATAAAAGGTAATTTAAAATATGAATACAAAATTATAATATGAATAATAATAAAATAACACTATAGTTAGTCTCCTAAAATAACCGGACTTTTTTTCTGACAAGGCAAGGCTGAAAGGATTATAAAATAACTTCTAAGAAAATCTAAGAACTTTAGGAATTTATCAATTATTTGTCTTATTGGCCCACAATACCATGTTAGAATGGATGCAGACAGCAGAGGACAATATTTTCAGAAATATTTTCATTCTGTTCATCACACAAAGCTATTTTATGACTTCAAAAGTCTTCGAATATAGTGCACAAGGTGTATGTAATTTTTTTTTTTTTTTTTGACATTTTGAAGCCTTTTCCAATTCTCTTTTATTATATGGAAAAGAGTGGCAAGTACATTCTTCAAACTTTCTCTGAGCATGAGAAAAACGATTACAGAATTTTCCTTTCAGGGTGAATTGTTTACTTAAATTCGTATATTATATATTGACCACTGGTCCAGAGCTGTCCTTCCACATTTGCGATGCTGTTTGCAAATGTTCATTGGAACTGGTTTCAGAAAACACAGACTAGTTGAACTAGAACTAGGTTGGAGGCATCCGTGAGTCAGGTTATGTGCACTCTGGTGGTCAGCCTGTATACGAGCATCCGCCTGATTTGTATGTCACTGTTGAGTCGGGCCTCAGGCTGTAGCTGTATTCAGGTTGATAATGAAGGTCTGCTGTTAAACACTCACTCATGTTCACCTGCAGTGCAGCAAAGGCCTGCACAAGCCCCTCTATTAGAATTGGAAAAGTTATGAGCACTTTCTTTTTAGAGGTTAAATCTTTCTTCTCAGTAAAATATTCCGTCTGCATTAGCATATAAATGCACGTCTGGTGATGCATGTTTAATGGTGGGTGATTTAAATGTATAATATTCATACACATTGTGATGATGTAGCTATAAATGTGCAAACATGAGTGAGGCGGATGAGTCCTGATGCTGAAGTGCATGTGAGTGTTTGTGCATATGTGAGTCTGCATATCTTTCTTTCTTTCTTTCTTTCGTTCTTTGTTTCTTTCTTTCTGTCTTTCTTTCGATCTTTGTTTCTTTTTCTTTCTTTCTTTCTTTCTTTCTTTCTTTCTTTCGTCTTTCGTTCTTTGTTTCTTTCGTTCTTTTTCTTTCTTTCTTTTTCTTTCTTTCTTTCTTTCTTTCTTTCTTTCTTTCTTTCTTTCTTTCTTTCTTTCTGTCGTTCTTTGTTTCTTTCTTTCTCTCGTTCTTTGTTTCTTTCTTTCTCTCGCTCTTTCTCTCCTTTTGTACTCTCCTTTGTTGTTGTATTTTTCTTTCTTTCGTTCTTTCTTTCGTTCTTTCTTTCTTTCTTTCTTTCTTTCTTTCTTTCTTTATTTCGTTCTTTCTTTCTCTTTCTTTCTTTCTTTCTTTCTTTCTTTCTCGCTCTTTCTCTCTTTTTGTACTCTTCTTTGTTATTGTGTTTTTCTTTCTTTCTTTCTTTCGTTCTTTCTTTCTTTCTTTCTTTCTTTCTCTCGCTCTTTCTCTCTTTTTGTACTCTTTGTTATTGTGTTTTTCTTTCTTTCTTTTTCCTTCTTTCTTTCGTTCGCGCTCTCGCTCTCTCTTTCTCTCTTTTTGTACTCTTTGTTATTGTGTTTTTCTGAATTCAATTATTTCTTTCATTCTGATTTTCCACTGTCACTCATTTTTCGTTTGTCCATTTTTCCATTCGATTATTTATTTGCTTGCATGTTCTTTGTTCTGTTTGCTTGATCTTTCTTTCTTTCTTTCTTTCTTTCTTTCTTTCTTTTCATTACTTTTTCCTCTTGATTCATTTGCTCATTCACACATTCTTTTTTCCATGTTTGAACAGTCTCTCTCTTTTAATTCCTTTTTTTTCAAGTTTCTTCCCTTTCTTTCTTTTACTTGCTTGTTCTTTCTTTTTTTCATGATTTTTTCTCCATTTTTTTTTGTTTTGTTCATTTTTGCTCACATTCATTCTACCATTTGTTTGATTTTTATTTTCATCTTTTGTGTCCTCTTTTGTTAATTCTTACATTTTTCATTTGCTCTTTTTTCATTCTTTCATTTGATCATCATTTAATTTTTTATTAGTCTGTTCATTCTTTAGTTTTTGCCTGCTTGCTCTCTCTCATTCATTCTTTAAATCTTTTCTTTCAGTTCTTTTTTTCTTCCCGTTCCTTTTTCTTGATTCACTTTCTTGCTCAAATTCACTTTCTTCACAGTGCATTCCTGTTAGCACTTTCTAAAGTGTTGAAAAGGTTTATGGTTGGTAATAAGATTGACTGTTGGCAGTTTTGTGCATCCCTAACCTCTCTGTAAAGCCTGTATTACCTTGTGATGTGTTCAGAAAACTCTGGAGAGGACATTGTTTGACAGTTTACCATATGTTTACTTCATACATCAAGAGCAAATGAAATTCAGTTGTTCATGATACAGAACAGACTCATCTGAGTTGTTGCTGATATTTCTTCACAGAAACCCAAGCAGAAAGACTGGCACCCTCCTGATGGCTTCATTCTGGGGCTCTGGACTCTTATCTTGCTGGTGTTCTTCCAGACCTATGGCATCAAACATCTCAAACACATCTTCTGATTCATCCCTCCCAGCACCGCAGAGGTCAAAGAACCCATCGCTCGTGTCTTCTCCTCCATAAAAGAGTCCACCCTAACTTTGTTCATGATTGATTTGGTCAGGAATAGGTTTTTATTTCTTTTTTTGATGCAAGTTTGTTTTCTTTGGGTTTTGCTGTGTATCATTGTTTGAAAGTGACATGCACTGACTTCTTACGTTCAAACATTCTTTGTTGTTTGTTGCTCAGTAGTGAAAGCATTTGAATTTCACACGGGGACTTTCTTTTGAACTAAACACATACAGACAGCTTGCATACTTCTTGTTTGTTGGTTTGTTTGTTTGTTTGTTCTTTAAATTCCAGTTATACTTTAATTTCTTCAGCCCAGAGCAAAGTTAAATTATGTTCTATCATTTATAAAGGCACACGTGGAATTGTAACTTGTAATAAGGAGGGCATGCACTCCTCCCAGGTTTCTTAATTTGTTCTCAGTTTTTTTTTTTTTTACAGATAATCTAAATCTGTATATGCAATTGCTGATCTGTTGTTTCAATTGCACTTTATACTTTGCATTTTTATTATTTAATGATTATTTGAAGTGGAAAAGGACACTACTTTTCTGGGTAGCACAAATAATGTGAATGAGAAAATGATTTTTTGCATAAAGAAAATAAAGCCTATTTTAGGATCATTACGTTTTTGTTTGTTTGTTTAAGCACATTTTAATCCCAAATTCTCATTGGCATAATGAAAAGAAACATCTCATTGTCTTGAATGTAATACAATGATGATTTTTTTTTTTATCCGCATAAATCAAATCAAGTACAACAAATGATAACATGTGTAATCACTATTTTCCTTAATTTAAATGATATAACATTTGTTTTTCAATTAACTGACAAGAAGTGGGTAGAACATGTCATGAAGTTAGTAAAATATGTAATTGGTCCTAAAATAGGCTTTGTTTTTTAAGCATAATATAAGTTCTTTGTTTTTTGTGGCCTAGACATTTTCATGAGATCACCCAGCAATAAATGTGAGGAATTAATGGACAACAAACAACATTTCCATGTACAGCAAACCAAACAGCTCCATTTGCCTGTGGCTGTCCTGTATCTGTCCATTAGCATCTCTGCTGCACTTGAACTGTTACGAGTGTGCTCTAAAAGGGGTCGACCGAATTCACCCAAGTGTGAATGAGAGATTGACAAATTGCACTCTCTAATTCAGATTATTTTTTTCTGTCTGTCTAATGCATCATTAACTGTTGGTAGGTCAGACATCGAGGATTGTTTAGGAGAGCAACCCACAATAAAATATTCACTGGAACTCGCATTATGCGAGTAAATGCATTATGAAAATTTCTACAGTGCCATATTTGTCTTTTTCCCATTTATGTTCTCTAGCATTTTGCTTTGTTTTTTAATTATAAAACTGGCTAAAGGTGACATTTTGAATAAAGCCTACTGTGAAAGACTAAAAGCTTTTCATGTTCTGCTCCTTTTAAACTTGAAGGAAAGTAATAAAGCAGAAAAGCAGCGGAAAAACAGTGAAACGGGAGCTGGAGCTCTTTTTCTGCGTGAAATGGAAGAACAACGAACTCACATTTTACAATGGAGAAGCATTATGAAAATGAATTCTAGAAACATAATGTTGAGTTGTAAGAGAGCTGTGAATGGTTAAACGCCTTCTGCAGTTGCTGGTTAGGTTGTATTAAAATATCTACCTAATACATATTCAGACATATTTATTACTCTATGAAATACAGTCTTATTCTAATATAGTGAGTGAGTGAAGTGTGGCCAAGTATGGTGACCCATACTCCGAATTTGTGCTCTGCATTTAACCCATCCAAGTGCACACACACACACCCGGAGCAGTGGAGAGCCATATTGCTGCTGTGCCCAGGGAGCAGTTGGGGGTTCGGTGCTGGGTCTCACCTCAGTCGCGGTATTGAGGGTGGAAGAGAACGCTGGGTATTCACTCCTGCCGGACCTGAGACTTGAAGACTCTCTAACCATTAGGCCATGACTGCCCTAATAGAATATTATAATGAAATTATTCCTAATGGAATAATATAATGAAATGATAGGATGCCAGATCGCTCAACTCATAAATTATTATTGGTTATGCTAATTTCATATTTCAATCATGAAGACCAGTTGAAGCTATTTTATTATTGCCTATTAAAGAGGCTTGCTTTTTTCAGATTTCAGTAGGTTGAAACCTGTTAAATGGTTAATCTTAAAGGGATACTCCACCCCAAAATCTAGCGTAGCGTTAGTTCTGGCAGGTCACGTTAGTCAAGCTCGCATCAGCTGACTCTCAGCTTACCCCCATCTACCTATGGGAATACGACACCTATCTAAGCATTCATATATAAGGTCCCTCAGTATTATCAGCAGTTTTCGCATTGCTCAATAGCTAATTACCCTCCTCCATCCCCAACTCCTCCTCTGTCAGTCAGGATTCAGCCTTCTGATTCTCCTTTCAATCAGACTAATTCAAAAATGTGTACATAACATTATTGAACTTTAACGATATCTGCAATACATTTATGTTGGTTCTGTTCTGTTTACCCTGGGGGGTTATCGCTGCTCTCCCTGCTCTCATCCATGCTAGGCTGCATGGATGCGCAGGGAGTTCTTGCCCAGAACAGAACCATACCGCCAATCCAAACTGTATGCTAATTGTCAATCATCTTTGACGATAGTGGTCCTGACAGAAATGAAAATTTTGTCATTAATCACTTACCCCCATGTCGTTCCAAACTCGTAAAAGCTTTGTTCGTCTTCGGAACACAATTTAAGATATTTTGGATGAAAACCGGGAGGCTTGTGACTGTCCGATTGACTGCCAAGTAAATTACACTGTCAAGGTCCAGAAAAGTATGAAAGACATCGTCAGAATAGTCCATCTGCCATCAGTGGTTCATCCATAACATTATGACGCGACGAGAATACGTTTTGTACGCGAAGAAAAAAAAAAGACTTAATTCAACAATTCTGCTATTCAACATACATATTCAACAACAGCGTACACTATTCTGTGTCAGCCACGACACAAGGATACGTTTTCTATGTGTATTTACATTTTGATTTGAATTAAATCAGCGCATCCATGCAGCACGGCTGACACAGAATAGCGTACGCTGCTTGCGTTCAGTGGTTATTCTCCAAAATGGCGCAACGGTGATGCGGAGAGACACAGAGGAGACGAATTGTTGAATAAAGTCGTTGTTTAGTTTTTACAAAAAAACTAAAGTATTCTCGTCGCATCATAACGTTACGGTTGAACCACTGATGGCAGATGGACTATTCTGACGATGTCTTTAATACTTTTCTGGACCTTGACAGTGTTATTTACTTGGCAGTCAATCGGACAGTCACAAGCCTCCCGTTTTTCATCCAAAATATCTTAAATTGTGTTCCAAAGACGAACTAAGCTTTTATGGGTTTGGAATGACATGGGGGTAAGTGATTAATGACAAAATTTTCATTTTGGGGTGGAGTAACCCTTTAAGTACAATCAATAAATAGAGGGCCTACTTTCAATGAATTATGTATTAATCGAATCAATTCTTTTGGCCAAATATGATTGATTGATTGATTGATTGATTGATTGATTTAGGGGCCAAGCACCGAAGGTGCTGTAATTGTTAGTTTTATTATTATTAATTATAATAATATAATAGTTTTATTATTATTATTTACCCTTCAACATGATTGTTTTCACTCCAAAGTGCCCTTTGGAGGGTGATATATAGCCCATTTGGAACGCACCGATCATGTCCCAGAGGTACCTGAGAAGTTTGAACACAGTGCTACCTAGTGTTCCAGAGATATAAGGATTTTTGCAAAATCTGCTTTTAACTTTTAATTTTTTTCCCCCAAATTTAACTTTTTCTATGTCTCTGTTTCTCTGTGTGGTTTATGCCAATTCTGACGATGTAGCTCTCATTTTTAATTATTTTGTTTATAATTAGCTTAGCATGCTAATCTGGTCAACATGCTAAGTAACGCTTACTCTCACACTGAAAGCTCTCCTCAGCAGCCTGATGAGTGTGCACCGACTGGATGGGGGTTTGAATCCAGTGTGGCACAGAACATTTGATGCATTTATATATACAATCTTAACAGTGTTTTGTGCTTTTGAGATGCACATTGTCCAGTGTGATGTGCTTTGATGAGTTTGTTGTGATTGTTATGCTTGCTGTACATGCTGTGCTTACCCTGCTGGTGGTAATTGCTGTGCTTGTTCTGTTTTCTGTACTTGCTGTTATTTATTTATATAACTTTATTATAT